CTGAGCCGGTGAGATTTGAACCGCTGAACTGCTGATCTAGCAGTAGCCTGCAGTGCTGCATTTAACCACTGCGCCACCTTGGCTCTTGGATATCTTTTAGATGTGACCAATCTTGGTGCAAGGAAGTCATGCGACTCTAAAATATATGAGGACTGTGCATTGCTTTGGATATAAAAGTAGTGTTTCCCAATTTTAGCTATTTTAAGTTGGGTGGACTTCAACTCCCAGAACCATGGGGCTAGTGATTGGCACACTTACTGGTGGTAAATTCTAGTCATTAATAATAAAAAACTGGAAGGTGCCAAGTTGAGGAAGGCTGCCTTGCTTGCAAAAACTTGTGACAGGCCAACCTAACACTTGGGCATCTCTGAACACTGAAGGAGACAATTCCATCTATATATTAGTTCTGCCAGACTTGGTCTGCCAAAAATCTTGATGGTCACTGCATGGCAATAGGGAGTTTCCTGATTCTCCTTCCTGCTATCTGAAATTTTGTTGTTTGGATCAGATGGCTCTAGAACATTCTTGATTCATTTGGGTAAGCCAATGCTGCACTGCATGATACCATTCTGACCTCTACGAATCCCATTTAGATATCTTAAAAGATCCAAGAACTGGACCATTGAATTTGGAATGCAAACCATTAAGAAACTTTTGTGTGATTTTCCACCTTGGAAAAGGAGGAGGAGGAGAAATTATTGGTAAACCTTTATCCTCAACACACCAGTTTCCCAGAATGATTGCTTATTTGGATGTAAGTGACTATATATTATCTTTTCAATACTAATACCTGTTCTAAGGATTAGTCATTGGATGGTAGAGGACAAGCTGATTACTACAAAGAACAATAGTATTAACGTCACAAGTCTCTTTGCCTTCACCATTTTTTTTACTACTGGTTCTGTGGGCGTGGCTTGGTAGGCTTGGCAGGGGAAGGATACTGCAAAATCCCCATTCCCTCCCAATCAGCTGGGACTCAGGAGGCAGAGAATAGATGGGGGCGGGGCCAGGGCTGGGTTCCAGCTGCTGCTACTGCTGGTTCACTCAGGGACGCACTGTACCCCCATGTGCAGTACTAAAAAATGCTTCTGCACATGCACAGAAGGAAAAAACAAGATGGTGGTGCCTACAGGGCCGTTGAGAGTTCCGGTTCGGGGGCATGGCAGGCTAAGTTACTACCTACTTGGGCAAACCGGTCCGAACCAGTAGGAACCCACCTCTGGGCGGGGCCAGCCAGAGGTGGTATTTGCCAGTTCTCCCAACTACTCAAAATTTCCGCTACTGGTTCTCCAGAACTGGTTAGAACCTGCTGAATCTCACCTCTGGTTTTCACCCAGATTCCAAGCTATGGTGTGAATTGCTAATAGGAAAACCATAATCTCCCTGCTCCTGTTTATTGAAGGGGGCAGGGGAATATTCATTTAAAGGGGAATGGGAAAAGGCAATCTTTGTAGCCAATAAGATCTTGAGAAGATTTTCTCCTGAATTTCAGTTTCAAAAGATTTGAAAACAACCAGCCCATTCATAATATTTTCTGGGGAAATTTAACTTGTCTGGGTCAGTTAACTGGTCTGTTCAGTTGCTATGTAAGTTGTGTCTGACTCTTCATCACCCCATGGATGACAGCATGCCAGGCCCTCCTCTTCCATTGGCTCCTGGTGAGAAAGGATGGCATTACCTAAATCCACAAAACATTGAAGGAAAATATTTTTCAGTGGCTACTGCACACGTTATGGCTGAGCAGCAATTTGTAATCCAAGGAGTACTTCAGATATGTTAGGACATGAACAAAATATCTCTTTTGCAACTTCTTAGAACAATCACACTTCCCGAGAAACACTGCAGCTTGGTTTAAGGTAGCTTCCAATGCTTTTTCTGATGGCGAAGAAACTGATTTTTCTGTTCTGACCTAGGTTTCCTTAACAAGCATGAAGCAGAGTCTGGGTCCTGGCAATACCTCTTTTATTTACACGACTGTGAATTCCTTTCATTCACAGTCAGCAAGGCTTGGCAAACTGTCTTTCAGAGGAATGTTTATCCACACGCACCTTATCTCACTTGGCGAGCTGCCAGATAATTAGTTTCCAAATTCAGGGTAAGGCAACACTTTGCACAGAATCTCTTACAGTCACAAACAGAACTTTCCACTCTTGAAACGACCAAAGGAACGAATTGTTTCCTGCAAAAGCCCATTCCTCGTTTGCTCCTTTTTTGTTTTCTATGGGAGGGGCCAATCTCCCTCCAAGGTGTGGCTTTATCCCAAGTTGACCCTGCTTTCTGAGTTGTTCTTGTCTTCTGGCAGCTCTGCGCATGCGCACACTAGGAACAGGCTCCAGTATTCCTCTGCCTCGCTGCTGTCTAGCTCCCTCTTTGCCTCCAACGCAGAACCTTCATCCGAGCTTTCCTCAACCCCAAGACTGGCCCATGTTCCTCCCAACCTCCTCATTGTCCCATTCTGCTGCCAGCTCTATTGGCTGCCGGTGGACCACAACACTTTGTAGAAAGTATGGATCACCCAAAGTGTTGGACAATCTGATATTGAATGTCTGTGATTTCACTTATCCAACCTTCTCCAAAGAGATCCTTTTATATGTGGTCAGGAATATTGCCATGGCTAACACACTTGAAACATATCAGATTGGGGAAAGCTGTGGTAAAAGATGGGGAGTGGGTCTGCCCTATAAAATAGTATCAATGCTGCACAGATGAAGCTTTCTGGTCATATGACCCTCATCCAAAACCTGCCAAATCATAGATGTCTGAAAATATTAAACCCTGTCGGTAACTCAGATCAATGTCTACGGA